CCATGACTAAATGAGACCATGGAAGAGATTTCAAGACTGGATAATCTAAAGCAATTGTGCTAAAGCAAATCCTTAGAAATGTCCTCCCTGACTTGCATAGATGAGCTATACAAGAAGTTCTTGATTTACGGGTTTCTCTATGTTCCTACCCTCACCTATGGTCATGAAACCTGTCATAAATGAAAGAATGAAATCCTGGATACAAACAGCCCAAATTAGCTTCCCTGAGAGTCATGTCTGGACACTCCCTTAGATGGGCTTGAAATAGAACCAATGCTCTTCTACATTGAGAGGAGTCAGCTGAGCTGGCTGAGACATCTGTTATGGTTATATTCCTATTGAGGTGTCCCACGCACGTCTTACTGGGAGGAGGCCCCGGGGATGGCCCAGAACACATTAGTACTATGTCCCTTGACTTGGCCTGCAACACCTAGAGCTCCCCTTAGAGGAGTTAAAGAAGGTATCTGGTGGAACCGAAGTCTGGGTGTCTCTATTAAGACCACTGCCTTCGCAAACTGGTCCCTAATAGGCGAAAGACGCTAAGTACTAAGTATGCAAGAGTAGACAGTAGGGGTACAGCAATCATCCTTATATCCATCCATCCATCCATCATCTTACACGCTTGTCCCAATTGGGGTCGCGAGGGGTGCTGGTGCCTATCTCCTCATCCTTATATATGTTTTGGTAAATAAAAACAAAAACTTAACAAAACAAAAAAAAACAATATATGTACTATAGATAAAAGATTACATACTGCAATAGATGTAGAATGTAACGTTAACTTACCCATGGTGGAAATAAATGTGGCTGATTGTGTGTAAAAAGATAAAAGATGAAAATTTTCCATTAGTGCTAGTTATGTTGCTCCCCATTATTTTTCTTGAAAACCATTCATCTAGCTTTGTCCACATACTATGATATAAGGGACACAGATTGCAAGGATGGACATTCTTTAGGCCTTTACAGCACATAGAAGTGGGCAGGATCACATTCATCACCATCAAGTGGAGAAACATGTTCAATTTGAAGCAGCTGCCTCCGGGAGCAAATGTTAATGATCTGATTTTTGTGTGGTGCAACCTTGTTTCTGCTGTAGTCTGGAGCAGAGGGATAAATGAGGGAAAGTAGGAGGAGGATGAGGGTCGTGGTATCAGAGCAGGCCTTTTTTATGAAGCAAAGGGCACGCCAGGCTGGATGAGGATCAGAGCAGGATGGAGAGAGGAGAGGCGAGTGAGGTGGAGAAGTGAGAGGGAGCCGCGGGGTTCTGGACTGTTGGTCTCTAAAGCAGCCGGAGTGCCACAGTGATCAAACAGTATGCTGTACACAAAGAAACCTGATCTAATGTTGGGTTTAAACTCAACCTGGCAAATTTATTTATTTTCAACAAAAATAGACATCATAGAACGCAAAGAGCAGTTTTAGAATTATTATAGAAATGAAAGTTATCTGTGACCCAAATAAAAAAATAGTAAAGCAGCTTTAGTCAAGACCACTTTTACAGCTTTGCTACGCAAAGAAAATAAATATCATGCCTCTCTTAGAACTTATAATTAAGCTTATTTAATAGCCTAAAGAACAAATGTGAGGGACGACATTAAAGCTGTGATTTAAAAGTAACACCTACAACCTAAAGAACATAAGAGACAATTTGTTGGGTTTTTATTGTTGTTTTTTTTAATCAAATTTTGAGAAGTAAAACTAAAATATTTAATTGTTTATTATAATAGAACATGCCCTGTGATACAAATGTATACTTTTTCCACCCTTTCATCTCTTCTTTAAGGATGATATAATAGTTTTTCAAACTCTAAAATGTTCTAAAAAGATTGTCTGACATTTACGACATTTGTGGACATCTAAGACAGCTAATGAAGACATATTCTACATACTATGGTTACATCTGAGCCATAGAGTGGTAGTTTCAGATATTGTAAACATACTGCCCACCCAGGGGTGCAGCACATAAGAAACAGATTTTTACAATTTTCCATTTATTTGAAGTTTTTTAATAACTTAGAATGTGTTTATCATCTTTAAGACTAATTAAAGAAATAATATCTGATTAATCAAATCTAAAGCCTTTGGGTCCCTTTAAACCTCCCTTTTCATAAACTGCATGTTTTTGCGCACTTTATATGTCCTTCCATCCGTCCGTCCGTCTAAGGAACAAACTTCTTGGCTGAGTGAAAGCAACGTTAAATCTAAATCTTCCACCAAATATAGCTTGACTTTACACATATATGTAGAAGCACACACAGACTAGGAACAACTAAAAACAATTAATAAACCCAAACATTTCAAATTAATTGCAAATTAAGAAAGTTATGCTAGCCTGCATTTCGCCCTTGGGACAGGGTAATGAAAAACAAAATAAACTAGTTTGTGTTAAGTCATTTTCCGGCAGTCAACATAAAAAGACAGGTGCATAGACTGAGTTCTGCAAAGCATAGCTTATGTTCTGTTGACTGCACTGAGTGTTATGTTGAGGAGCAGCATTACCACTGATCCTCTGTCAAAGGGTAAGTCTGCCCTGAGGGAGGGAGAGACAGAGACACACAGAGAGAGTTTGGAGTTTAAAGGTCAGCACCACTGACTCCATTGAGGGAAGTAAAAGCTCAAATGTCTTGCCATTTTGTCGAAAAGGGTAAAGACGCCCGTCAGCATTCATTTACATGTTTCAGATCACCTTATAATGATACACTTATCTATGATAATGGATTCTACTTATTTGGAGAACTGTACTTAAATCAGAAGTCGGCGAAAATTGCAATGCCCCCTGAGCGGGATGTTATGTTGGCCACAAAGTCCAGCCATGCTTATTGCCCTACAGCAACCAAAGCTCAACACCTTTCTATAACTGTTGTTCATAGTTCAAGAGTTGTGCATTTAATGGCCAATCATTTCTTGGTTTACTCATTTATTAATGAATACATTATATTTTACTTGAAGCTTAAATTATTCACTTCACATTGTTTTTACGAATCAAATTGTTAAGTCAGGTTTTTTTTCCTACAACCTTTCACAAATTTGATCCAGTAGCTGTTTCACACTGAAAAAAGTCACATGACATTCCAGTTGTTCGTTCAGGATGTGTTTTGCAATTGCCTTCACTAAAGAAATTAAAATGTCCTATACAATGTAAACAATACAAATAGAGAACTGGACCCATATGGAAAAGGAAAATTTTCTCATTGAGCCAATTACAATGTCTACATGTAAATTATTGCAGTACAAATTGTAATTTAGGCCGTTGTTAATCTTATCAACGTAGGAATGCATTGGTTCAGTGTAGACTAATAGCTAGGAAGGAGCAGCCCCTTATACTTAGTAGGCTCACAAGCAAAGAGAAGATGTACATTGTTGATAGAATGTAATTCAATTAAAAATGGAGCACAAAATGAAAAATAAAAATAGTCCATCAGAAACAGAAATACTGATTTGAGATTTTGTTTATAAGAAGCCAAACAGTCTTTAGGGGTCATGCTATGTCATGCTTTGAGTTGGTGGTTCTTTTATGAATGCAACTTTGCACTCTATGAATAGATTGATTGGAAAAACAATCAATTTGGTGAGATCAACCAATATATTGGTCCGAACCTGACCAAGCCATTGGTTTTGGATCAACCAATTGAATTGGTTAAACAAACAATAAAGAAAGGTGGTAACAGGTGGTTTTCCGTACAGGTACAACATGCTAATTTTGGCATCAATCTTGGTTGTATACATTAGTATTAAGTATTATAATATTGAAAGAAATAATAGCCTTGACAGTGGTGCTGGGTGTATGAGCTTGCTGTTCAATTGAAGAATTGTTAGTTCAAGCTGTCAAAGTTGCTATATCTAACCGATACTTTGGTTAAAGTGACCAATATGTACAAGTTTTCCCTTTTTCCTTTTTTTTTTATTATTTTTTTATACAGTGTCCTGTCTGGCAGGGTGGCAATAAGAATAATTGTCTTGATGCCAAAAAGAGCCCAACAGATTTTACTTTCACAAGTGGAGCAGTATTGCTCCACTTGTTTCATGCATATAAATTGCTTTATTATAATTATGCAGGGAGTTTTACAGTTCATATGGACACTGCAATGTAAATAGAGCAGAAAAACAGAAGAAGAAAAGGAAAAAAAGAAAAAAAAGAGAAAAGATGAAACATGACAAAACATTTTCAGTTTGCTTCATCACCTGTAATGAGATGAAAAAAGAACAGCACAACCGAAAGACA